TGCTTGATGTCAAAATGACGGAGAGAAAGATTTTGCTCACACGCCATCGCTGCCAACAAGCGAACGCTAGAAACCGCTACAGTCGGTGCATACGTCTCTCCACAATCTACATGTACTCTCTGCGTATCCCCTCTCGCTACGAACCGTGATTTCACATTGGTTGGCCATCCATACTCGTCAGACTTCCAATCAAACACCCACTTCGCCTTGATGACACTTTCTGGTTGCTACATTACTTCCTCAAAGGTACCAGCCTCCATCAGACCTCTGAACTGCTTCTCTACAGAGTGTATCCACAAGTCAGCATGTTGAGAGGACACAGTCTCCCTATACGTTTTGGGCACGCGCAAGTCGCTCGCGTAGCACTGTGGCAAGTCCGGTGCCACTTCCGGGGGATCTAAATCCATCATCGCGCGATCAATGTCCTCGCGGGAGGCAAGCAAGGTGGCGCACGCAAATGGGACTTCTTCACGCAGTCCTTCTTTTTTCGTGCCCCCCCGCTCTCGCCCCCCCGGCTCCGCTCCATCACGTCCTCCGGCTGAACTCGGGATCTCCTTCCTCCCCCCATCGACGATGCTGCGAGTGGTTAGAGTCGACAGGAGCGTTGCCTTGTCCTGCAGGGAAACAAGACCGAAGCGGTGGGCGAGAGCGTCGCCGCTCCCGCCAGGTGACGTCGACCGCTCGGCCCCCCCATCCTGGAAACGCACCCGCCGACCCCTCAACCTCCCTGGCACCCGCGTCTCTCGTCCCAAGTCCAGCTCTCGATTGGCCCTGGCAGAGAGGGGCGGCATTGACGACGCACGCCCCCCCCCCTGGTCCTTAGCGGCTGCCCTCGTGCGCCCAGAAACCCTCATGTCGCCACGCCCCACGTCCAGTTCACGGATGGTCCTCGTAGTGAGCGGCGGCATGTTGGTGGAAGGCGCGGCACCGGGCGGCACGGCGGCGGGAGACGGTATTACTGACGGTGCAGCGGCGGTGGTGAACGGTGAGGCCGGAGGCGAGGCGGCAGTGGTGAACGGTGTCGCGGCGGCGAACGGCGGTGCAGGCGGCGCGGTGGTGGTGAACAGTGGCGCGGCGGCGAGCGGCGTTGCAGGCGGCGCGGTGACCGGTGGCGGTGGTGTGGCTGCGGTAGACGGCGCCGCCGGCGATGGTGGTGTGGAAGTTGCCGGCGGCGCCTGTGAGGGTATGGCAGCGGGTGAAGTGGGAGATCGGGCATACGGTGAGGGGGGTAAGAAAGGCGGTGAAATGTGCTCAGTGAGATACGGTGCGGCGGCGACATTCGAATCCCCCCCTTCGTCCGCCGGCGCCGGCAGCTCCAGCGGCGGGGTCAGCAACGGCGCGCGGTCGGAGACCCACACGACGTTGTTCGTCATGCACACGCGCCCCGTCGCGAACTTGAGGACCTTGACCGCCGACTCGTGATGGTTGTCGCCGTTGTTGAGGTAGCAGCACAGCACTGCCTGGGGATCCATCTTCCTCGCGCGCGTCACACGCATATACCCCGGCTGCAAGAACGGGACGATCTGGAGCGGTGGCGGGCGACCGGTGAAGAGCTCGTGCGGCGACTTGTACCCGACGTTTGCCTTGGTCGGAGAACGGTTGAAGCCGCCGGCAGCCCAGTGACACGATTCTAGCCAGAGTCGCTCGCCATCGCGCCCGAAGCCGGGGACGCGGGTGAAGTCGATCTTGGGGAACAGGCGGGGTGCCTCGAGACGAGCGGCGTGGCCGGCCTTGTTCACGCGCCAGATAGCACCCTCCGCCGGACCATTTCGCTGCGGGGTGCCCGGCGCCGTGTACGTACGGCGGATGCCGGCGTTGTCACAGAAGGCGATGAAGTCGCGTCCGATGAACTCCCCCCCGTTGTCCATCCGGAAAGAGCGAGGGACACCGGTGCCACTCATGTCGGCGAGGAACTTCTTGACGAAGGCGAGGGTGTCCGACTTGCGCCTCATCCCGTACAGCTTCATCCACCGCGAGAAGCTGTCCACGAACATAATCATGAAAAACGAACCCCCCAGCGAGGCCGTCATCGGCCCACACAGATCGATGTGCCAAAGATCGTGCGGCCGCTCCGCGCGCGTGCCCAATTGGTGAGGCACGCCCGCCTTCTTCCCCTTCGCCTGCAGGCATCCACCACAAGGCTGCAGGACACCGGTCAGTCGGAGACCGTGCTGCTTCGCAAGCTCACGCAAAAGAAACTCATTGGCGTGGGAGGACGAAACATGGAGAAGGTTAACGTCAATAATCTTGGTGGGTTTCCCCACCGGAAAAGGGCGCTTGCCCGGGGCCATAACGGGAACGGCGAAAGCGACATCATCGAAGACATTGTCAAATCCAGACTCAAACATCAAGTCTACAAACTCGTAGGGGTCATCCGATTCTTGTCTTTGTTCTAAGAGGTACAAAGCCCACTCGTAGTCTCCCTGCTCTGTGAACGGAATATACCCACGGCCATCATCCTCACTATTCTCTTGAAAAACGGTGACGTCCGGCGATGGCAACCCGGGAACAGCTACCAACTCCA